GATTCTGGCAGCCAGGGAGTCAGGAAGTCAGCTGCCTGCCTGAGCATCACCAGGCAGGCTAACTCTGCAGAACCAAGAGGAGGGCACCGTGGCTTGATACAGCAGTGCATGCGGTGGGAAGGGCACAGCTCAGGGCCACAACCCAGCCCAGCTGGCTCAGACCTTGGTGGGGGAGGAAAGTGCTCCTAGTGCAGTTCCCATGTGGCTTTGGGAGGCAGCATCCTAGGGTGGTTGTGGTCTGGTTCTTTCCCTCCTTTTTTGAAAACCTTGGCTCGCCCCTGTTCTTCAGCCATTCAGTCAGTCTGCACCATGCCTGCATGTGGGGGACAAGGCAGGGAGAAGGCTGACCCACCCTACCTGCAGGGAGCTGACAGTGGGCCCCCAAGACAGCGGTGGGATGGAGCCGTGGGTGTTCTGACTATCCACCACATGGTTTAGATTTCTTCCCAAACTTGTAGGCCAGGGGAACTTTTTTTTGGAAAACATTCAAATGACGGCCAGAAAGGGGGTAAAAACTTAGTGTTAAAATATGTTTATATGGAATTAAGAAGACACAAAGGTGGGCGTGCATAGGCCTGCCCACCAATCAGAGGAGACTCCACGGAACGGGTGGTGCACATAGGTCAGAATGAAGTCAAGTCAGGGCAGAGGCACCAGCATGTGCAGAATCTGAGCGTTCGAAGGAACACTGCACATCTGGAAACAGCTGTCAAACCAGACACTCGAGTAAAGTTCTCAAACACCTGTTTGTGTCCTGTGGGGTACCTTTAACAATGAGATTTCTGGCTAGGGAACTTTAATTAACAGATCAATGCCTGGGGCTCTAATTCAGGCCAAATCTCTCCGAGTCTATGGCACCTAGATACTGACACTTTTAAGAAGCTGCCCAGGGGATTCTAACACTAGGCTGTCTAATATGGTAGCTGCTGGCCACGAGTCCTGACACGTGTGAGCCCAAATAGAGATGTGTGTCAAACACGAAATGGATTTTGAAGATTAAGTAGGAGGAAAAGAATGTAAAAATCTCATTCATGATTTTGATAGTGATTACATGGTGAAATTGTTATTTTGGATACACTGGGTTTAAATTTTTAAAAAATTAAATTGAATTTCACCTGGCTCTGTTTACTTTTTAATGTGGCTCATACTCTGTTTCTAATGGACAGCGCTGTTCTAAGAGATGAGCCATGGCTGAGAAGTCCTGATGTCAATAAATGTTAATCTTTACAAGATTTCAGTTCCACAGAGGCTGCTGAGCGGGTGTGTCACTGACCTGGAAAATTGGACCTAGGAACTATTTTCTCTTTTCTTTCTTTTTTTCTTAAGGTATCATTGACATACACTCATATGAAGGTTTCATATGAAAAACAATGTGGTTACTACATTCAGTCATATCATCCAGTACCCCCATACCCCGTTGTAGTAAGATGTAGGGACTATTTTCTATCCACTGCTCCCCCTCCACAGTGCCTGAAATCCCCTGAAAACCAGGGTTGTCTTACCTCTGCACCTGTACTTAGCACCCACCCAGTGGGCTTGGCTCACTGAGCAGTGGAGCCCCTGTCTCATCCTGACCCTACAGGAAGACTTTGGGATCTATATCTACACCATGCAGGGGAAACAAACCCGAGAAGCAAAGGGGGTCACAGACAAGAGAAAGTAAGTCTGAAGGTCAGCATTTCCAAGATTCCTGTCTGCTGAGTCCTCATCCATGATATACCTCAAGGATGGGTCTCATCTCTAGTGCAAGGTCTGAAATGGTGCTCACATGTGAAAGCTTCTCTGGGGGCGGGGAAGGAAGGGAGAGACACAGCTGACTATTTGCAGAGCGCTGCACTGTATTTCTGCACTCTGTATGTACTAGGAGGCTATCACTGCTGTAACGAATCACTACAAACTCAATGGGTTAAAACACAAATTCATCATCTTACGGTTGTAAGGATCAGAAGTCCAAAATGGATCTTACAGAGCTAAAACTCAAGGTGCCAGCAGGGCTGCCCCTTTTTCCAGAGGCGCTACAGAAGAACCCATATCCTTGCCTTTTCCAGCTTCCACAGGGTGCCCATATTCCTCGCTGGCAGCCCCTTCCTCCACCTTCAAAACTAGCAATGGGCAGCGGTTTTCCCCACATCCCATCAATCCAACCTCTCCTGTATTTCAAGGCCATATTTAAAGACCAACACTACACTGGGCCTACCAGGCAAGCCCAAGCTAATCTGCCTATTCTAAGGTCAGCTGATGAGCATTTTCTTTCCAAGTACTGAAACATATCCACAGGTTCCAGGAATCAGGATGTGAATATCTCTGAGTGGAAGTTATTCAGCCTTCCACACGGTATTTCTCTATACTTTAAAACATCCCTAGGAGGCAGACAGAAGGATTTCTGTTTTTACAGACAGGAAGCAGACTGTGGAGCTAAGCAGCTTGGCCAGGGACACAGGCTAGTGCTCAGGTCCACCTGCCTACAAGTGCCTTCCAGGACACTGCACTGTGTTTTTAATGGCACAATTTTCAGGTTCAGGATGTATACTGTATTCTGTAGTATTCTGTATTCAGAACACTGCCTCAACAACAAAAAGCCAATACTGTTTTTTTACCTCCATTTTGAAAAGGGCTTTTATCACCAAAGGGACCAAAGACATGGGGAAGAACAGAGCAGCTTTCTGGACACTCCCCCTGGGCCTGTATACACACACTTGCACACTCCCTCACACCAAGCAGCAGTCTCGATCCAGTAGCAGCGGCCCAAAGGAAGCATGACCGCCCCTCCCTGAACACTTCTGACTGGGGTGGGAAGGGACCTTTGTAATATAGGATGTGGCCTAACAAGAAAGCTAATATGGAAGAATTTTTCCTGTTCCTGACCCAGGAGCCCAAGAGGAAAGGCGAGGCTGGAAGATCGTGATGACTCAAAATTCTAAGTTAAGCCAAAGTGCTCCTCTACAACACAGGCCATTGTGGTCAACGGGAAGACAGAGGCAGTACATTTTTAAGGGAAGGTGGGTCCTGGACTGGATGTGCTTTTTTCTGTCCACAAGGAGACATTATATAGGCAGTGACTTCAGCTCTCTAGGTCCTTCCCACCAGCGGGGCCTGGCTGGCATCTCACTGGATATTTCTGGGAGCAATCTAATTAAATATTAACCATGCACAAAACCTTATTCCTGCATGCCTCTCAATAAGTCACTCTGAAGACAAGCAAACTCAGCCACTGAACCCAAACTCCCATCTTCCCTGAAAAAAGGGCCCTGGAAAGGGTAAAACCTATGAGATTCACCCATCAGAAAGTTATTTATTATAAGTAACCCTCTTAGGCCCTGGGAAAAACCCAACAAGAAAAAACAAAACAACATCTTGTTTGCCAAGCCAACCACCAAAATGTGTGGACCTGTATCAGAGATTCTTTCTCTATAACATTAAAGATTGTTGCGTACCCTTGATTTATAATAACAAGAGTATAAGATCAATGAACTTGACTCTTTAAATTCCATCTCCTCTATGTAGCAATCAGACCTCTCTATACCTCCTCGAAAGCATGAAAAATCTAAAAATCAGGGAATATTACAACCAGATTCTCTCTGCCAATTAAATTTTTCTCCGAACCTTCTGCAAGATCCTGGAACAATCAATTATATACTAAGGACTTTAAATTAAATGCCACATTTGTTTTTATGATGCGCTATCCAGGTTGAAAATATCCCGTAGGCCAGATGCTGATGATGATCACAAGGATAAATTAATAATTTGAGGTAGGTTGGTCCCAGCACTTGGCTTTCATAAAACCTTCGTGTCCCAAAGTTTTATCATCACTTTCATGGTTAATCACAAGCACAAAAGTTCCAAGGCCCCCCTGAGTTTTCCTTATTTCAAAAGGAAAGCTGCTGTAGACTGCGTGTGCTAATTTGATTTGAAAGCGACCCAGAAGTCATTGCTCTCTGCAGGGACAGGTGGGAAGGAACTTGCTAATGGCAGCCACAGATGTCACCATTCTGCTTCAGGCAGGGGTGGGAGGGGTCATTATGGCTTCCTTTATTTCTGAAGTAAAATTTTTCTGTTATTTCAGTCTTGGTTGACTTATTTTGGCAGACAAGTGTGTGTTCCCCTCCCCCAGGCATAAAAACACCTCAGTGTTTGTGAAATAAAAAGGAACAGAAAACCAGAAACACAGCCACACCTGCATCTTGCCTTCTCGGCAGGAACACATGTACCCGCGCATTGTTCAATTTTTAAAATAACCTTCCCAGGATAGGCCATCTCCAGGAAGAGATGCAGGCGCGTGGGCAGTGCAGGAGGGAGCCCCAGGAAGCGTCTGTGTGTCAGGCGCCGGCATTTAATAAGGGGGTGTGAACCTGTTTATACGTGGGCCAGAGCTCAAGCAAACAAGTCGGGCGACATACGTGAAACTTTTGGCCCAGCAGATACTAAGATATTGTGCGGCCCTGGTAGACAGCTCAGGAGAAAAGGAAACAGAGAGTTTCCTTCAAGGAAATGCACTGTTTCCCCGAGGTTGGGGGCATTTCATACCGCGCGGAGGATGGCGGCAGGGGCCGGCGGCAGGGGCCGTCTGCAGGAGTGGAGGGCGCCCGGCCAGGGCAGGGCAATCCAGCCGGCCGCGCCTAGGCCCCGGCACACTCCGCCCCAACGGCCACCGCCGCGTCTCGGCCCCCGGTCCCTCCACCTGCGTCCGCGTCCCTTCAGTCCCCGGCCGCATCTCGAGCCCGGCCACCGTGCTCTCCCGCCACCTCAGTGCCCGGCCGCCTCTCAGCCACCCTCCCCCGCCACCACGGCCCGGGCGCCGGCGCGCGCTTACGGTTCACCTGCGCTCGGGGCGGCTCGCAGCGCGGAGGCCGGGCGCACCTGGCTCCGGACACACCTTGATCCCACCCGGCCACCGCCGCACCTCCGTCCCCGGCCCCCAGCCCCCGACCGGGCCCCGCGGGGAGGCGTGTGCGGCGACGGGGAGAGGGCGCCTCCCGCCCTCCCGCGGCCCCGCCGCTCGCCTGGGTCTTGTCGAACTGCTCGCGCTCGGCCTCCAGGCTGTGGCCCGGCCTGCGGCTCAGCACCCGCGCCGGCACGTTCTTGATGCTGTTCATCCTGCCGCCGCCGCCAAGCTCCCTTCCCGGCTCCGAGCCACTGAGCGCGTCCCCACCAGCCACCCGAGCCTAGGCACCGCGAGGCCAAGAACAGCGCCGGGCCCGCCCTCCGGGGAGGAGCCCTCTTCCCGCCCCGCCCCGCGCCCGCGCCCCATCCTGTCTCCGCCCCTCGCCCCGCCCCGCCCCGCGGGACCCTGGCCAGCGTCCCCAGCCCCTCCGCCCCTCTACCCGGGCGCCCGGCACAGCTAAACAGCCCGTCCCTCCTCCTCCCTCGGGAGTCGGGGCGCGGGCCTTCCCCCACACACCGTTCCACCCCGGACTCATCAACTCTTATCTATTCCAGGCGAGCATCTGATTAATTGCAGAAAACTTGGCCTCAATGAATCTGACCATACTTTTTTCTTTTTAGTCTTACATTGATTTGTGTCAAAATGCATGCAATTACGCTGTCCCCTTTTGTACATCTGTAACGTAACTGCAGCTGTTATTAACGCGGAGCTGTGAGATGAATCTTCAGACTGCAGGTCCCGCATGGGGACACCTTGCCAGGGCCGAAGGACAGGAAGGGGATGAGGAGAGGCAGGGCTGGGACAGGCTGCAGACAGATCAGAACAAAACAGTGCTGGGCCATCAAAGCCCATCAAAAAGATGTCTCAGGAGGTGGTGTAAGATTTTTTTTAAGTTATTGGTTTGCTTTTCAAATTATCAGCCACATTGGAGTAAAAAAAAAAAAAAACAGTTCTCCCAAATGCAAGCTCTCAAAATGTTATTGTCAGCTTTCCTCTCAGAAACACGTGTGAAATCACCCAATACAGGTCCTATGGACTCCCTTGGAAGAGAAGCACTGAAACTTGTCTCCTGGACCCCATTTATAACCTCACTGAATGCTTCCCTGCTCCCAGCCTGGAGCAGACACCTTATACTTAAAAGATGTATTTGACAAGGCCTCTCACTCCACAATAAATTAGAACTACACTTTATCTAATTCCAATCACTGAAAAGCTTCTTTACCAGAATAACAATAGCTAATAGTTGTTGAATGCTTACTGTTTGCTAGGCACTGAGATAAGCCCTTTACATGTATTACTTCCTTTTTAATCCTCTGCACCCTGGTCAACAGCTGTGGTCAAACAAAAACCTTAGTAAAAGGGGTGTGCAGGTTACATACTGGCTTTCTCACTCCTTTTTCTGCATGGAACAAAAGCAGCAATCCTGAGAACTTCACACTTAACCCAGCATCTTCTTTTAAACCAGGCAACTCTTGAGTCTAGACCTTCTGCCAGTGACTTCACCTTAGCAAGCAACCACCACTTTATAGCAATGTAGAGTGTGCCAGGCATTGTGCTCAACATTTGTTGGGACCCCAGAGTATTTAGCTAAAACATCTCTAATGAACTGCCATTTATCTGCTTGTAGCTAAGCTTTTGAGCTCCTGATTCTAGTACTGGCCGTCACCAGTTGGCTGAGATTCTCCATGTCATCAGAATCAGGGTGCTATTTGGATATACCTCCAGGGCTATTTAACGCTTCTCCCAGGCTATTACAAAGGCAAAACATCTGGGATACTAATTAGACCTCATTTCAAGGAAACCCCAAGACCACAAATGGTAGCATTTACATCATTGGCTTACTGAAATGATGGTGCGGCAATCCCCATGCTGCATTGATGCAGGTGCATGGTCTGGCCTCAGCCTCTGTCCAGCTTCTTCTTGCGCCATCCTACTGCATCAGGTCTGAAAATGCATCATGCTCCTTCCCACCTCAGGGCCTTTGCACATGGTGTTATCATTGTCTGGAATGCTCTTCCCCTTCCTGTTTGCCAGTTAGCACCTACTCATCTTTTGCCTTTTAGTTCATATGTCACTTCCTCAGGGATGTGTTCCCTGAACCCTCCACCCTTGTGTGTCCCTGTTACATGCTGTCACAGTAGTTTAGTTTTATTTTATAGCACTTAATAGTTTTTCATGATCTGTTTGTGTTATTTGAGTAAGGCCTGTCTCTTCGACTGGACTATAAACAAGAATTGTCTACCTTGCTCACTGTTGTGTCTCCAGTAGCCAGCAAAGCAATACTTGCTTTTGAACTCAAATTTGTTTTTTGTTAGATCTCCTAAGCGTGCTTTTGTCTGAGAACCCAGAAATCATCTTTACCTCCTCACTTGATAAACTCCTCTCAAAGACTATTCTGGTTTTCAACCTACCTTGTCAGCTGTGGTCCTGATTAATGTGTCTGGTTTTTTAGTCTGATCTTATTCACTGTTCTCTATCACATAGTGAAGTGGTTGCTAATGTTACTCTGTTTAAGGCCTAGAATGGTGAACCTTCCTGAAATGGACCGTAACAAAACTGTTATCAAATGGCTCAAGAGAAACAAAGGTGCACTACTTCAAAACAACTGTATAGCTGCAAGCATCTAACCAGGGGAGGAAAATCTCAGCTCAGTTAGCCACAAGTTTCAATTCTCAAACACATTCCTGAAATGATCTCACCTTACCCCATGGCATTCTATTAGCACTTTTTAGGGAAAACTGTTTTTAGTGTTTATGTAATATCTTGATTCAGAATTTCTTTCTTTTGGGGTATTTCTGTTTCTGCTTTAAAAACTGTTCACAAATTTTAAAAATAACCCTTCTATCAAGTCTCTTCTAATGGCTGAGCTAATTTCTGAGAGGCAAATTACAATACCATTTAGTTGCATCCTCTTAACATGAAAAGAATGTTGATGACAAAACATAAATGCTAAAATTGAGTTTTACCTTACAACTATTTCAAATGGAATACCTCTTTAACAAGTTGCTCAAGTATTTAAATAACTTAGGCTGAGATAGATTATTTGGTAATAAAAAAAATTCCCACCTTTTAATTACATGTACTGTGATTCACAATAATGTAGTGGGATAAGAACAGGTGCTATAGGTACTATAATCCTATGAGCTAAAGCAGATTTAACCACAAAATATTTTTTTAGTTCCCAGAAGTTTTCCTATCTAGCACTTAATCAGTGTTTTTTTTTCACTAAGCAAGGTGACATGTAGCTGAGAACTTATCATAAAGAGAAAGAGAAAATGTATTATTTTGTTTCAGATTGGAAGTCAGCCTCTCCAGGGATGTTTTGTTTCCAACTTGGAAGTGATAGCTCAGAGTCAGCTGTACCTTTCTCAGACTTGCTCTGTCCCAACCAACTTAGCCTGAGGGAGAAAGCAAGCATTTATAGAGAACAGAACCAGACCCCACCCCATTTCTCTTGTCAGCACCCTAATTAAAAAGGCTAAATGGGGTGGCTCCTCCACTCATGACAATCATCTCTGAAGTAGCACTGAAACCTTTTAACAAAGGGGCATTTATACAGCACAATTGAACTTTGATATCTGCAATACTTAAAAAAAATGCATTTCCATTCCTGAAGAAATTAACTGGCCAGGTTTCATTTTAAGCAATTAACTGTCCTTATTTTACTTCTATATAATAAAAAGAAACCAAAGAATATTATTTTTCTTTATTATTAAAAATAATTTTTATTTACTAAGGCTGATTAATTCTCTTAGAAGGGACAGAGGCACAATAGTATATTCTTAAAAAAATTAAGTTACAAATTAAAATGGAAGTGTTTTAGTCTTTAATGATAAAAAATGCACATAAAACTTGATATTCCATAAAGCTTTTGTTTGTGTAAGTAGATGCGACTATTACAGACCCTGACAAGATGGGACTCTGCTCAGCTCTGGGACAGAAGGACCTCAATTATCAGTAGCCAAGGAGTACTTTCCAGTTAAAAATTTTTTATAGCATACCATTTTTTGTCTATTTCACACAGCAAAAACCAGAGTAAAACCTCAAAAGAATACTATTTCTCATGTATTTGGAGCTAACTCTGATAAACTCTTGGTTATAATTTAAATGTATGCACAGCTTTAAAAAAATAAGAAAATGAAAATAGCATTTTACATGCAAGGGTTCTCTATTTGATGTTCACATTTTTAAAGAGCTTCTCTAGTATTAACAATAGCCTGCATCTTTACAGAGAAGTCTTTTTCTCTTTTAGCATAATTCCAAGTCTGTATATATATAATACACAGTAAGGTCTGATTTCTTACACATGAAATGGTTAACTTTTAAAAACAAACAAAATATAGATGTTTAAAAATTAACTCTCAGTTTCTGCTTCCCTTTGGTATTAAATGTTGCTCACGAAGGATTACAGTCCTCTTTTTGTTTTCAAGGTTAAGTATTAGGTATTGATGTCTGCTTCCTGCCTTCCACATAGATGAGAAATTGGCTTCTGCAGGAAGAAAACACAGTTTAAATTAAAGTCTATAATAAGCATTGAATAGTATAAGCTAACAGTTTCTAAAAAAATTAACAATACATCTTGATTTTTATCAATATAAGGTCATGAAAAATATAAATGTAAAAACACAGCAGAGAGAAAGAGAACAGGAGAGGGGGAGGAAGAGAGGTTACTTAAGCTTACCGCTTTCACAGAATCTTTAAAATGCTCTTCTGCTTACACTGAAAACACCTGAAATGATTCTTTTAACTTATCAAACATCAGATTTTGAAGAAACTACATATGAAATGCAGGTTTGATAGAAGGACACAAATCAACAAAGTGCTTAGCAGGTCAATAAACCTTTTTACAAAACTTGAAACCCCATGAAAAGACTTCTTTGTAGATAGAAATGTTAATTTAGATCTTGATTTTGAAAGCTACATATATTCACTTTCCTTTAAAATTCTAGGTATTAAGAACAAGAACTTGTTGATCTGCATTTCTCTTACAAGTTAATTCACATCTTACTCTGATTAAATTTAGAAGGTATGAATAGGTCAAACAAAAGAAAAAGGATTACAGGTCAAACAAATGCATGGCCTTAACTCTACATTATCAATGTTTTCAAGTTACTTATTAAATATCAATTGAAATATAAGGGGAGATAAGGAAAGGTGACTTACCCATGATCACAATGAATAATAAACTTGACTTTTGTTTTTCTTCAATTACTGAAACAAGTATTTTTTTGAGCTGACTCTTCTGAGACTTGTAAGTTCTACAAAACAACTCTCAAATTAGTATCCAGGATAGAAAAATTAGAAAACACTTAAT